TGAAAAGTAAAAGAAACACTCCCTCCCTGGTACACCACCCCCACACCCCCCCCTGCAACCCTCCCACTGCCCCAAGTACATTCCACTATACAACTTTAGTTGTGGACTCTTGTGATAACCATAATACCCTGTCATACATCACTTTTAAATTATTCTCTCCCTCATCTGTTTCAGTGCAGTATGCACCATTTATCCAGTTTTTCTCAGTATGCACAATTTTACGGCTAAGCTTAGCAGTAGTTGTTAATCACCTTTTATTGTGTGATTGAAATTCTTAAGGACTTCACTGAAATTTAAAAGGTCTAACTTGAGAGTCAAAGACAAGATGGTCAGTTAGTAAAAGTTAGGCAGACCCTTAAAGAGATGGATTATCAACAGAGTCTGCAATAGTGGACTCAGACCCGGAGGAGTGGGGACAGTACAGGATAGTACAAGGTTCCCAGTGATATGTTTGTTCACAAGGTCACTGAGTCCACTCAAGGGCACCTCACAACAATAATGTGAGTCTCAGAACTTTGTCTCAATAAGGATTAGAATATATTGTTTCCCTTATAATCACCAGACTGAACTAGCTGGCCATTTCATTTTAGTGGGCCTCCGGTAGCCTAGAGATAAGAAGTCACACTGCTTACTCAAAGTCAGGCTGTTCAAATCCACTTGCCGCTCTGAGGGAGAAAGTTGAGTGGATCTCCTATGTGATTTTCCATCTGAAAACCTGCTGGAGTGTCAGCTATGAGCTGATTTCAACTCAATGGCAAATTACTCTAGTGGGCAGAGATGAGGAAATAAACATACTTTTCATAATAATAATTTTTAAATTTAGGTTTTTCTCTTTTATTTTGTTCTTATTTTAAGGTATATTTTCTTTAATTGGCAGTTTAAATAACCCCTAAAACTAAGGAAAGAATCAGAGAATATGTATTACAAATATTTATACCTGTCCTCTCCTTTTCTAGATGGCATTTGCAAGTCATCAGGCTGCATAAAGTCAGGTAAGAAAAAGATTTCTAAGATTAATAGCTTATAACATTTAAAATTCAAATACTACTACATATATACACATACTAAGACATTGTCCTTGTAATACTCTTACTCATTTTAATTACTTATTTATTTGTTTAGTTCTATGTTCAGGAATAAAAATGCATATAAGTAGTCATATTATTTAATTTTAATTAATGGATTTTTTAAAAAAATGCTTTACTGTTTTAGCCCCGGGGTTTATGGTGGGGCTGTAGAGAACTGTGGCCAAGTGACAAGAAGCTGCGCTGCAATCCCAGAGGCACTCAGTTTGAATCCACCAGGCACTCCTCCCCTGGTGGTTAACTGCCTCTGGAAAGCTACTGGCGAGTCAACTATGAGTTGATTCTGACTTGCTGGCATGCAACAACAGCTGCATAAGGTTTGTTATCTAGTTTGATAAAGAAAATGAACTCATAGGACATTGCTATCACTAAGTGCTGACCAAGACGTTTGAGGGGTCAAAACTGAGAACAACCTGCTTTACTTCATGGAGAATTTGAGATTGGAGAGAAAAACTTGAAGGCTGGAATCTGGAAAAAGAAGTAACAGAAGAGGGAACTTCATACAAGGACAACGAGAAATAAAATTATTTTGTCATGAATCAGTGAAAATACAGGCTTGATGGACAAGGATCCTTTATGGAAAGCTGTGAAAATCCCTGTCTATAGTCTTCTGTATCCTGAGAAGATTATGTGAGAAGTTGGACTCTGTGAAGAGGAATGTGGCATTAGGATTGGAGGGAGGACTCATCAGTAATCTCTGTTATATGGATGACACAACCTTGCTTATTGAAAGTGAGGAGGACTTGAAGCACTTGCTGCATATCAAAGACTGCAGCTTTTTATAACATCAAGAAAATACAAATTCTCACCACTGGACCTATGGGCAATATCATGATAGATTGGAGAAAGGACTGAGACTTAATGATTTCATCTTACTTGATCCACAATCAATACACTTGATACCAGCAGTCAGCATATCAGGGGTTGTATTGTGCTAGGAATGTCTGCAGTTAGAGACCTCTCCAAATAGTTTCTATTGAGATTCAATAGCATCTTTTGCAATAGTGGATATGTCTCTTAAGTGTCCTATGCAGTCTTTCTTCTCTATTATTTTATTTCTGAAGAAACTGGATCCTCTGACTTGGTAGGCTGACATTTACAAAATTCCAGGATAGGATAATGTTTTATTCTTTTATACTTAGGAAGCCTGAATTGTTGTAAGGTACACTTTGATCTAGAGCTGATTTAATAGTACCTAACAACAGTTTTTTGTGGTTTGTTGTTTGTTTGTTTTTTAATTTGGCTGAGTCCCAACTGAGTCTTCATTTGAAGGCTCATGTGTGAAGCCTTTGGATTTTGAAAGGTGGGTTCTTCTTGTTTTGGTTGAAGGTCTGGTGTAGACTGTTTAGCTGTTTTTATTTCATTTACAACCACGTGGGAGCTGATTTGATTTGCTGGATTTGGCTAACAATGAGATGTGGGCTGGAAGCCTCTTGTTTAGAGCCAATCAGGACCTGGTGCAAGGGCCTGGGTTTTTAAAAAAAAAATTTTGTTGGTGCTAATTGTGTTTGAAATGAATGTTCTCTTAGGTGGTATAGCACTGGTCTGTCAGTTTGCTGTACTGAGGTAACTTAAGAGTGCTATATTACCGAACACTGTGCTACTGGTGTGTCAGATACCATGATGGTTACACATGGTGCACAATGTTTGGTGGAGTTCCTGGATTAAGACAGGCTTGGAATCAAAAGTGGCATCCACTTCTAAGCAACGTTCCTCTGGAAACTCTATGAACTTAGAGAAATGACAGTAGTTATAGAACAGGGTTAAGGACTTTTGCTCATAGGGTCACTATGAGTCCAGTATGAGTCATGCTTGACCTCACTTAACGACACAACAATAACAACAACAAACAGATGCTTTCCCCCACGTATCTGGGTGAATTCTTCTAGTAATTCCAGCCCTGACGAATAATGTGGCATTCAGAATCTAGAATTTTATGGGGGACCTTGAGAATATGACTGAAAGGTCCAAACTCACTCTGAAGTCTAGAAGCAAAACACCAGCTGAATATTAGCAGATATGCTTTGCTTAAAATGCACGCTTCAGTGAAAATGGGCTGGGGTGTGGTTTTTGTCTGCACCTAAAAAAAAATAAACCAAAAAAAACGAGAATAGGATATATATCTATTTTGTGCTGGGTTGTTTTCTATTATTTCCATACTCCCTGTTTTAACTCTCAACTATCTCCTAGGGAGAGTCATATAACTGTGAGAAGAGTATTGAATATACCCTGGTTGGCTAGGAGAACAAACAGGTTCATCCTAGAGAGGGTGAAGCCATGCTGCTCTTTGGAGACAAGTATTCTGAGGCTTCGTCTGACATACTTTGGGCATGTTGCGAGGAGGGACCAGTCCTTGGAGAGGGACGTCATGCTTGGGAGGGTGAAAAGACAGCAAGAGAGGAAGACCCACAGTGAGATGGATTGACGCAGTGACTGGGGTAATGAGGGCATGTGTGTCAGAGAGAGTGAGGTTGGCTCAAGATAGAGTAGTGTTCAGAGCTGTTGTACGTAGGGTGACTATGAGTCACAGATGACTCCTCAGCATATAACAATAATAAATGTAAACATTAGATTATTTACTATTTCTGGTTAGATAAATGGAATGACTTCAACCTTATAATAACTGTCTTGATAATGTCTCAATTCATAAAAATGCATTTAACAAGCACCCTTTAATGATAGCTTTAAAATCAAACACCTTGCAAAAAAATGTTTACAGTAGATTAAGCTTCAGTAGTAAACAAGATGGCTTTGTGTTTTTCTTCCTTCTATTCTGTTGGCCATAAGTTGGTAGAATAAGTTCCTAGTCATAATTCCTCTTCTTTCTAGAAAGAAAGGATGATGCATACTCTCGTGTCTTTTTTTTGTGTGGGTAGGTAGGTGTATACACACAATACTCAGCATTACAGACACTATTGCGATACTCACAGTGTAACTGCATTCTGCTCCTTGGAGGCAAGGATTCTGAGGCTCTGTCTGACATACTTTAGCATGTTGCAAGAAGGGACCAGACCTTGGAGAGGGGCGTCATGCTTGGGAGGATGGAGGGTCAGCGCAAGCAAGAGAGAAAGTCCCTCCATGAGATGGATTGATTCAGTCACTGGAGTAAAGAGGGTAGGTGTGTCTGAGACAGAGAAGTTAGCTCAGGACAGAGCAGGCTTCAGGGCTACTTTACTTAGGTTCAGCACATAACAACAGTAACAACAACAACAATTCTTCTACTTTATTCCTTCCTTTCTTCTGAGAATTGCCCTCAAGCAAGTGCTGCTCTTTTGACCTGATATGATTAGCTCTTCTAAAGAATGGGGGCGGGGGGGGGGCTTTTAGAGTCATTAATCACCTGACAGGCCTATTTCTTGGAAGGCTGAAAGGTGAATCATGGGGGTGAATATTGTTCCAGATTCAGAGGTGAATTTTGTTCCAATTCATTGGGTCACTAAAAGCCACACTCTCGGGAGTTACACTGGTTTCTTTGGGACCAGTAAGCCTGACATTTTTGGTTTTAGATTTTGTTCCACATTCCCCCCCATGCTGGTAAGGATCCTCTGTTGTGATTAACAGCTGTTAAGGTGGTCAGTGGTGGTGGCCAGGTACCATCCAGGTCATGCAGTCTCAGGAACATGGAAGCTAAGGTTCATGCTGTCTGTTAGACCTCTGGGCCAATTGATACTATCTATCTTTACTTTTCTTGTTCCCAACAGAGACCAATAATTAGTTATACCTTCTAGGTTGCTTTTACAGTCTGAGTTAGCTAAGCATGGATATTCTTAAAGTTGGAAAAATATGAACATGTACGGCTAAGCAATGTGAACATGTATGGCTAAGCACAATTGATAACAGTGCATCTAAATTCCAAAATCAATCTCCATAATAGTCTATGGTCTATGGGTTTCCTACTGCCAAAGGGGCCCTTTAGAGTAGTGAGAGAAGATCTTCACCCTGAAAGCCACAGCGTCCCTTTTCAGCAGGAAGTAGCTAAGAGAATGCTCCATCCCCTTTTCCTTATGAATCAGGGTGAAGTCTCTCTCAGGGAGGAGTGATAGGGAATGGCAAAGGACACACTGACAAAGGAGATTAATCAGAACTGGCTTTGACAAGCACTGTGGCAATTGGACAATTAAAACAGACTTTCAAGGGGGGGGGGGAAGAGGAACGAACCGGGGAGGAGGGTAGAGAAAACAGTGCAACAATGAGGAATGAAAACCCAAAATCTCTGTAAATGTTCATTAAAACAAAAAAAAAAATTTAATAATAATAATTAAAAAATTGGAAAAGTAGACACTACTTTCAGTGAGTTGATTCCAGTTGAAAGGTCCAAGCCCACTATGAATCCAGAAGCAACACTTAGCCAAGTGTACAGCAAACAGGCTCTATTTAAAATATGTGCTTTGGCGAAGGTAGACTGAGGCTCAGCACCAAACCAAGGAAAGAGGGCATTTATCCTTCTCCACTGGCCAGTTAGGGTTTAAGGGTAGTCATACCTTTTGAAAAGCCTGCTGTCATTTCCCCATTATTTTAGCACTCCTGGTTTTAACTATCAACTATCTTCTGGGGTGGGTCATAAAACTGTCCAGGAGTAAAAATTAATCAGATAGTTTACTATTTTCTAGAATACACACACGTATTTGCGTAGGGTCAGAAGGTCAGCAGAATGGCATCACTTTGGTTGCAATCTTATACTAACTTGAATCTTTCTTCCAGTGGAAAGGAATGCACTGAGATGGCAAGTCGCTGGTTTGGTTTTTTTTGTTTTTTAAAGGTATTTGCGATTAACAAGTCATTGAATGTGTAAAATTTGGACATTCTATTTCTAGCCTCTTTTCTATCACCAAGTTCATACATTTCAGCTATCATTCCTTTTGCATTGTTTCCAAATTTTGCTTTCTAGTCAGTCACCAATTATTAAC